TAATAATAACAGTAGTTTGATCTACTGTTATATAGTGGATGTAATATATTATACAATGGCCGACGCCACACGAGAAAAGCCGGATCCCGGTGTCTGCTCTCATTCTTGCAGTAGAGTTGTTTTTGTAACGGGGAGTCCTGGAACTCTGTGGTGTTTCATGTAACCAGTATGCTGATGATCGTGTTATTGGCACAGACGACGGTATAGATTTACTCTCGTTGACGGACCAAAGCTTCGGAACCAGCGTGCCAGTAAAGGACAAGAAGGCTCCCCCAGAAGAGAGCTATAATGATAGCCGGAAGTGACTAAAAAACAGCAGCGAAATTGTCCCTGTTGAGGTAACAGGAAGTTGTAGTAGAGGTAAATAGGGACATAATACAGGGAATGGTCACCTAATTGGATGATATCTTCGAGTAGTCTCATTCAAAAATTTTAAGAGACTAACCAGAACACCATAAAAAATACGATAGGACAGGGAAAACATATATAAACTCGTTTGTATTTCTTAAACGGGGAAAGGTTAAATGGTGCCAAGCAGTAAAATTATTCAAAGATGGAAAATTGAGGTGTCCGCAAAAATGGCTTTACGGACTCGGATTGGTGGTTTTATTTGTTTGGTGTTTTATCTTTCCTTTTTTTACCAGAAATGTTGACAAGTCTGGTGCACCCTTAGAGATGCCCGGTGATATATGCATGACTTTCAATTTAATTTGTCAGCAATGAATACGACAACTAGCGAGCAGCATTTAACTAAGAGTAGGAACTGGAGTAGCCCAGTCTCTATCTCGTAATTCTTGAGTTGAGGATTCGGCACTCGCCCAGGCCAGCCTTGGTCGGTTGACTCGATGTGTCAGTAGGAAAGGCACTTGGCCTCTTTTTTGTTTACAACGCATGATATAGCCATTAATGTGTTGATAGTGCCGTTACAACAGCAACCACCAATAAATTGCTTGGGAGTAGCTGATGTGTCTAATAACATGCAATGTCACATACGTCTAATAGCTTTAAACAAACGAAACTGACTATGACGTTTGACACATACGTTATTCTTTGTCCGTGTGTATAAAAAATACAGCCAATGTCCTTTAACCGTTACTGTGTAGAAAATCAGAAAACTTCAGCGACAAAGCATGCCATCACGCGCTGATTTAAAAATCCCTATTTTCACTTTGAATCTTACTGACACGAACTTAAAACGAGATTACGTTTGAAAGCGCGTCTTACGCTTGAGAATAAACCATGAATTAACCCCACCCCCAATCTCATAAGTTTCTGGACAATAAGAACGTATTTGGTTCATATATGTCAAAGTCAGCAAATTTAAAAGTTGAAGATGTACACTTTTTTTACAAATTTGCCATCGTCCTTAACTTGGGAAAACCCTATCACCGAAATCGAAATATATGCTGTAATTTTTTATGGCATTGTGTACAAAATAATAACTGAAACAATCCTGTACCGTACGCACTATATTCTACTTCCTTATATAACTCTAACTGAAATGCAATAGCAAAGTCACATATTTCCTTAGTATTCCTTATGTATTCCAGGGTAGCATTAATCCTTAGCTATGCATTGGATGCGAGAGATCGCGCGTTTGATCCCCGGCCGAGTCATACCAAAGACTTATTAAAAAAATGGAATTAGCAGCTACTTCACTTGTCGATCAGCATTTCGAGGTTAGTGTTAGGACTGATAGGCCTGGTGTCAGTTATTTGACCCCTATGTGACATGAATCTACATGTCGGCGGCATGATGCCCCATTGCTAGACATAACTATAAACTGTCACAATGCAGACATAGTGGCGATATGACACAAAATATTAAAGCTATGTTAAAAACCGAAACACACACACACACTCATATAGACACACAAACGCACACACACACACACACACACACACACACACCTTTAGCCCTTGTCGTTAGTACGCCTCTAAATCGGGGCACATTAATCAAACAGGAATGTCATCAGTTTGGATTTGTGATGCGATTTCGAGCGGAACACATTTTTGTGGCTCAACATGATAGTCATTAACATGTACGTACTTTATTTACTCATCTGTAGCAAATATATCTTGGATTACTTGAACTTTCTTTTTTTTCTCAAAAAACTGTGCAGATTCGAAGTTTAAGGTACATTTCTCCATACCATTAAATCAAAGGGGTCATGTCACGTGTATTTGTCAGGTCAAATTAACATTTTGGAACATGAACAATAAACTATGACAATGTTCTCATCAAGAGGGAACGAACTGTCGTGACCGAGCTATGAACTGTCTTTTTTTGTTCTCAATTGTACCCTGATAAATGCATTCCTCTTATAATTAAGTGTATGCACCCGTGTCACGACGCCCCAAATCTTTCAGCCTCGATCTGACAGGTTCCTTAATTATGTGTCCTTTTATCTCGCAAGAAATTCCATTGGTTAACTTTTAATCAAAGAATCCATCAAATCCCCTCACTAAATGTTCTGAACATCTTCATTTCATGATTACAGAGAGACACGAAAAATAGCGCTCAATAACATTTGTTCCCGTGATTTTATAATGCATACAATTGCTTTGGAAGAAACTGGTATGTTACGGAAAGTCACTCTCAAGTTAAATCCGTAATATTGTAACTCTGACCATAGAATAACCTCTGTTCTCTTGCAATCCTACTTAACAAGCCATACTCGTCAACAAAGTCACGCCAGTTTGCTCTATTTTTCTGTAAAACTACATGGTCAACAATAGACCAGTTTGAGCTTGCGTACTTTTCCTTATGACTCCATACAGTAATAATTTTATCGGAATTTAATTTTGTTATCTCGAGCACGAACTAACAGAGGAGAGCTGCGATTTCATTTATGTGTACACCGTGAATATTTGGACTGAAAGGAGTGTTTATTTTAGAACAAAAATAAGGTATGTTTACAAACTTACTTCTGTCATAATCTCTACCATATAACATTTTCTTTTTAAAAACTCTTTCTTTACAATGAATGCATGAAATTGATTTTAGAAAAATGCTATCATGAACTAATGCATTATGAATTTAAAAAATTGCCTTCATCCTTTTTCTGTATATTATGAGTGTGTAGCTTTTTATGAGTAAATTATCGCCGATATTTGCAAATAGGAGCGGACAAATACGGTTAGCCATAGGCCATACTTCGTTATCGGTTCAAATTTACACTTTATTTGACCTATTATTGCGCTGACGTGGAGTGGTCATGAGGTACTGGTTGTAAGCAAACCAACAGAAAAACTAAACATAGGTCATCGTGATGCAGTCGAATTAATCTAGCTTTATTATACAAGATGACAATCAGAAGTCGCATAGTAAAAGTAATACTATAAAAGAAAATGTTCAAAAATTTGAATTACCTTGTTTATATAGACTTTCCCACCAAATATGGTCTCACTCCATTAACTCTGGCAATATCATATATAGTACATGTGTGAAGATTGTTATGCTTGGGGTTGGGGTGCTCCAAATGTTTTATTTAAATTATTATAGAAATCCCACAGGGCTCAATTTTGCTGGAAGTTAAATTTACTGAAACAGATGTAAAGCTCAGTCCCCAATCATCAGTGCCGACTGTTAGATGGTTAAATATAAAAAAAGATGGAATTCAATAAATAACAATAACAATAACAATTCAATAATCAAACGACTCGTATTTCCAATTACAATCATTTCGCTCGTCTTTTTAATAAGCCTATTGCACTTGATTAACAGTGTGAGATTAATTTCCAACTGTCATTGTATTTCTACTCATCTGGTGTATCCTTTCTCTTATCTCTCCCAATTCTTTCTTTTCTATCTCAACTTTTCTCCAAATTCCTTCTCCTCTTTCACTTTCTATAGACTCTTCTCCTCTCCCTCCACTTCCCTACCACAACCACTCATCTGTCCACTTCGACTGTCTAGGCTACAGACTCAGTTCTTTCTCCAGGTGTTGAAGTCTCCGATCCCTAAAAGCTTCCTGTAAAAACACAAAGATGGAGCAATCTTTTTTCTAAGCTCTCTCATCTCACACTATACATAGCATATCGTCAGAAAACGGCTAATAAATTCTTATATCATGCATTCGTTCACATTGAGATACCCATAAAGTTTTGTATGGTAAAACAAACTTCATACTACAGCACGGTATCAATTACTACTTATATATTCATCATTAAATTTCGTCAGATTATTATATATTCCTAATCCATTTATACTGACCAATATCACAATAATCAGACTCGAATCTAACAATTCTCTAAATAGGCTCTTGTACATTTCTCAAATACGCACGTACATGAAACGCTACAAAAGTAATTACACGTACTAAAAGATTCGGGTAATTAAGAACACATACTATAAATAATTACAAATATGATGCCGTAATATTCTGCAAACATCGAGCAAATAACTTACCAACCTTTCGAAACTTTCTCTTGCTTTAGAATGTACCTTTACGTTTTGCCGCCAAATTACAAGTGATTTCGTTCTCGGAGTAACCCGATTGATCTACAATCACTCTAGGCGAGTGCTAAATTTTAGCTTACGAATTCTGAAAGTTATCATTCGGCTTGCACTGAAATCTCACCCTCTATCTCAATTCCGATTGGATATCGCTGTGATCCAATCAAACTTAGAGAACAATGTGTCTCTCTCTGTCTGTCAAAGTGGGGACGGATACAAAAGCGTCCGTTCACTACGTGGACTTCCATTTCATCTTTGGACCAAGCTTTAGCTTTAACACCTAGATGTGATAACTGCAAGCCTTTGTTTAGATGGTGTCATCTATAGACTTTGCCGATTCAGGATTCCAATTTTCAGCGGGTCATGTAACCTTGCGTAAGTTATCACTAGCCCGCAACAATCTTTAGACATCAAACACATGGCCGCGGTAATATGACATCAAACACATGGCCGCGGTAATATTCCCAAACAGGTTGATTATATCTTATATAAGACTTTATAGCTGGGGTTAAGCAAACATGAGTCTGTATATAAACCACTCCGGTGGCCTAGTGGTTAGAGCGGCCGCCTCGGATGCGGGAGGTCGTGGGTTTGATCCCTGTCAAGTCATACCATAGACAAACAAAAACTGTACTAATAGCTGCCTCGCTTGACACTCAGCATTAAGTGGTTTGAGTTAGGACTGGTCTGCCCTTGTGTCAGGATAATGTGACTGGGTGGGACATCATGCTACATGTCTGCGGCATGATGCCCCATTGCTAAACATCACTAAAAACTGCCACACTGCAGACATGGTGGCATTATGACTGAAAAATTGCTAAAATCTACGTTAAAAATCATAATCACAATCAGTATAGTCCAACTGCAAGCCGATTCGACTCTAATCTGCTGTCGCATAATAATCCGTGAATCAGTGTCTATGTTGTTTGTTCTACTGATTACTACTAACAAACAGCAGACATTCTGATCTTTCGGCGAATTAGCGAGTACACGCAGTAGTTACCGAACCGAAACAAAACGAAAGTCATTTCGGATAACCGAACGAGACAGAAAGGACTATAACGGATAGTCATGAGTAAGACAATATTTCGTTCCAAAGAATACAGTTAGCAGCATAAAATAGCAGCATAAAAAAAATTGTCGACTGGGTCTTTATAACTCTTGAATCTAACAGACAGATCTGTTTTGGCAGAGGACATGTTTTTACAGTACAGATTAATAATGAATGATTATCTTGTTTTGTATCAATCGTGGCATTTCGTTAAAAGCTTTGTTGACGTAAGTTCTGGGTTAAATCAAATAATGAAGTATTTATCTTTGCCCAACTGTAAAAAATATTGCGTATTTCACACACCTGTAATAAGCATTAATGAGGGAAAGCGTAATAACAATTGACGCACCAATTGGGGTGAAGATCATTTGTTCTACGAACGGTAGACTATTAAACCTATCTAGCTTTGCCCACAGCAGTACAAATCTTCATACAATCATGTCTTGATACGAGGTTCGAGAATTTAGGAATTTATAAATTTCCTTCTCTTTAGTATTAAGTGCATTTTAAAAGAGCAATATTTGATTTGTAATGTTTCACTTCATTGAAATCTTGAGACAGTATTGGAAGTTCATATTTCGCAATCGACCCTTAGTAGTCCCTAATCACGTTTTGTATGTATCACATGTAAAATATATTTGTTAGGTTTATAACACTTTGTTCACATAAACCTTATTCACAACCATGCATTATGTTCCTAAGTTAATGCATTCTAGAATTATATGAAATAATGTTCGGAAAATAGGAAAAGAATGTGTATTTTGTATATTTAGTCCATTTTGTGAAACATTCAGTTTTTGTTCCCTCAAGTCAATATATGCACGTGTTGGGACAACATGCAATTTTACACGTCATATAACATCTGGTGACCCTGCCATTGATCCCAGATAAAATAAATGAGGTGCTGAGTTGGCTGATTCGCACGATAAAACAATTTCTAGTAACTTGCACAAAACAAGAAACGCCTATTACTAGCAATTGTCACACCACCAGAGACACTATTACTAGTAAATGTCAGACAATTAGATATGCTATTTTTAGTAATTGTCCGAGGCACTATTACTAGTAATTGTCACACCACTGGAGAAAATATTACTAGGAAATGTCTCAATACAAGAGACACTATTACTAGCAATTGTTACACCACTAGAGAAATTTTGACTACTAGTTGTTACATCAGGAGACACTGACTAGTAATTGTCACACCACTAGACACTATTACTAGCAGTTGTCACACCTGGAGAGACTATTACTAGTAACTGTAACACTACTATAGACATTATTACCCGCAATTGCCAAAATGCTAGCGACACTATTACTAGCAATGGTCACACCATTAGAGACACTATTACTAGTACTTGCCACACCACTGGACACTATTACTAGCAATTGTTACACCATTAGAGACACTAGTAGTAGTAACTGTCGTACCACTAGAGACACTGTTACAAACAATTATCAACCTTTAGAGACACTATATGTATACGATTTAAAGTCTTACCTATCAGTATTGATTTGATCCAACATCACCTCGCACCATGCTGACTTAGACCGCATTGGCTCTTAAGCCTGAGCTTATTGGATTTGTTTATGTCGTAAGCGACTGAGATTTCTTTAACTCCCTTAGAATGGAGACCGGTCCATCACAGGTTTCGCAACCTCATAATTACCTGACGATGTTTCCTACATAAACCTGGGTCAAATGAAAATAGTGTATGCAAAAAAGATATTGGTATCAATGTAAAATTGTTCAAGGAATAACACAGCAAGAAATTCTAACATTACTACACCCAAACTTAATTCTGGGGCACCCTCCACCTAAAAAGGTCGTTTAATGGTAATTTCAGATTCAACCACAAGTTGAGGGTTAATGGGCTAATCCACTTAATTTAAGGAGTCAGTTGTAAATGTAATTTTTTAGGTGACAGTCAGAAATGTCCAATATTGGTCAAAACAGCAGTCTCCCTCCATGATAGCGTGATAGAAGATTGTGTTTTGGTTATAATTGTTGTCAAAATCTTGATTGTCAGGATCAATATCAATATCAATGTATACTTGATCGATGAATCAATTACAGATCGAACTTTCAGATGCTTTAATCTCAGAGACACTTATATGGCAAAATATCCTCATCACTCCAATCATCTGTCATATAAAGGAAATGGTAATTTAGTCTTAAATCTTTTGCTAGTGCATGCTGTCATCTATCGCTTTACATCAATGCCGACGTGAAAGATATTAGGGAATCGATTGCAAATGATTTTTGTTTTACACGATGTAGTCGGAATAATGTGCAATATTGAATCATATATCGTCACATTCACCCCCCTCGTGGAATAGGGTTGCTATTTCGATTCTAATATTTGGCAAAGTCTGAGTTGTTTTGGACAAAGGAATATCAATATTGATGAAAACTGAGCAAGATTATTGCAACGAGAATATTTTACATGGTGTGAAGTGTGCAATATTTGCAAAACAATCGTTATCTTCACACCCTCGTGAAAGAGGGGTGATATTTTCGTCATAATTTATATCTATATTTAGGCTGCCTTACATCACCTCATATCAACTGCGACGTAAAATTTATCAAGGAATCGATCGGAGAAGGATTTTTTTTAGATGACACTCTGTAAAATGTGCAATATTGACAAAATATCGTTGTGTGTGCTCTTCGCTTACTAGCAAAAATAAGCCCAAAAACCGCTCCGATAGCAAAGTAGTTAGAGCGTCCGCCTCGGATGCGGGAGGCCATGGGTTCGAACCCCGACCGAGTCATACCAAAGACATATAAAAAAGGTACTAACAGCTGTCTCGCTTGCCGCTCAGCATTAAGAGGCTAGTGTTAGGATTGGACAGCATGGTGCTACATGTCTGCTGCATGATTTCCCAGTGCTAGACATCGCTATAAACTGTCACCCTGCAGACATCGTATCGATATGACTGAAAACTTGTTACAGTTACGTCAAAAATCCAAATCACACACACACACACACACACACACACACACACATACACAGATGCAGAGGCACAGGCATACGCACACACACACACTTGCGCACACAAAAAATATTAGTAAAAGTAATTATATGACAATTGTTGGTTAAGCTTGAACACAAGATAACGACTGCTATAGTTCTAATCGAAAGTATTAGTGAAGTTCACGTTGTGTCACTAACAAACAGAATATTAAATGAATAGATGTACAGCGTTTAGATTACCTAGGTCTATCAATACAAAGCAATTTTTGATCACCTGACAATATGGGTTCGTCGAGTTGCTCACTTAATATGGTTGAGGGCAACTCGGGGAGCTAAGAATCATAGAACCAGACAAAAGGATTAATCTATCGAGATCTTATCTTACTTGGAAGAATTGAAAAAAAAAATATGCATTGATTTATGAATGGAATTTCAGTGTATTAACAGTCGCGATTCTTTGATTCTTTGGCGAGGAACTGAAGCGCATGTTTCAAATTCGTGTAGGGCCAGAAAATGCCGCGGTCATCCAAGATGCATCTGTACTGACAAACGGGTTTGATTATGAGTACTCAGAACTTTAAATTGTATATAATTGTTTAATATCATGGTGTTTTCATAGGTTTCTATGGCAACAGAATTAGCACAGTCGGTCCTACATGACTCAGGTACTAATTCAGCTCCTACAGCAAACCTATGGAAACATAATGCTATTAAAAGTTCAATAACTTTCAATATATTAAAGCCCATGATCAAACTTATATCTCTCATTATAGATATATATTCGATATAAGTGTCTGTGTTGAGGAAACCCATATGAGCCTTTTTATATTTACAGGGGGGGGGCTAATGGCTGTAATGGGTTTCCAAAACAAGTCCGCAAAATGGACTTAATTCCATAATATAACATTTTCTATGTTTTCTAAGTTATACATGGAAGAAGCGTTAAATAGATTCGTTTTCACTAAAATTTTAATTTTCATTATTAACCAATAGTGGACAGCTAATTCCACACAGAACTGTAATATTTCAGCTCGCACAGTAAACCTATTGTATCTCCATGGTATTCAAATTCAATTGCTTTAAATTTCTGGAAGTTCGTGATCAAACCTATTTTCATAGGTATAGACCCAACCTGGTTGCAAGCTTGTATTTGGTGAGAGTCATATGCCCCACGGCATTTATTTAATTGTATATGGTTGAAACCTGCATCTTCAATTAGGGACAACTACCGGTTGTCTTCCCCAGTCGATATTTTTAGATGGCGCTGCAGGCAAGTGGGTTCATTGTTCGGAACACTTTTGATTTTATTTCGAGGTCTATTGCTGTCTATTAAACGTTTGACATTTGAGTAACAAAAATGATATTAATTTATGCCTGAAACGTCACGTGTCGTACCAAACCCTACGCAGAAGGGCAGGCATAACTTTCCTAAAAGTAAAGAACGTCGGAATGCGTGGTTGCACACCATAATGTGTGGCATAGCAGGATTTTTAAAAGTAGTCACACCAAAGTAAATAGATAAGTTTGCAAGCAGCCTTTTAACTTAGACGACCACAAAACTGTAACCAACCATGGTAAGTTTTTTTTTCTG